ACCATAGTAGGAGTACACTAACAAAGCATAGTTGGTTTATTCTAAAAGGTAAAAAAATTAGAAATCAAAGAAAACTTATGTGATCATAATCAAATAGACTAATAACCAAGTTCGAGGTCACACTCGTAATAAATTGACATAATGAATAAATTATATGGTAATCATGCTCATAAAAGGTAATTACGGATTAATAATCCTCCTAAAAAATTGGGTAGTCATCACAACTTACTAAAGGTCAATCTTAATTTATGTATTAAAAAATAAAAGAGGTTCTTTTATTTTTGATACATTGCCAATATATTTAAAAGCCTATTGAGTCACATGCATAAGTTTAAGCATTTACATAATAAAAGAGAAGCAAATATTTTGGAAAAATTTTACAATTTTGAAAGTTTTCTATTTTGGAAAAGGTTTTCTAAAATGAAAGTTTTCTAAAATGGAAAGTTTTCTATTTTAGAATCAGTTTCCTAATTTGAAAGTTACTTACATAAAAAGGAAATTAGTTTCATAATTTAAGTTTAAGGGTAATTTAGAAATTTTTTCCTAATGTGAGCCTCCTAAAAAATATCTAACCTAATTTATTTAGATAGTTCAAATTAATTAGTAATTAATTGGGCCAAACGAGTTTGGGCCAATAGGTTTAATTTAAAAACCTACAAGATATTTTGATGGGAGGATAAATATGAACCTTATTGGATAAAGATGAAAGTTTAAAAGGATAAGATCAAAAAGCTCATATGCATAATAACTCTTAATCCTTTAAGGATTAAGAAGCAACAATCAAGAGTCATTTTTAAGACTTAATGTTGTCATTTCCTTATCCTTGAAGGACATGGAAGACACTTCCCTAATAGAGAATTATAAGGTAACTATGCTCGTGAAAGGTAATTATAAATTAATTAATCCTCATAGAGAATTGGATAGTCATGATGCATTGCTAGATGTCAATCTTAATTTAGGTATCAAGAATAAAAGACATTATTGATATATTGCGAATGTATCTAGGAGCATATTGAGTCACATACATAAGTTTTAGCATTCACATCATAAAAAGAAGTAAAGATGGAAAAAGTTTTCAATTTTGAAATTTTTCTATTTTGAAATTTTTTTTGAAAATGAAAAGTTTCCTAAAATAAAAATTTTTCTATTTTGAAAATAAATTTTCTAATTTGAAAGTTAGTTCCAAATTTGGAAGTTACCTTAAAGAGAAATTAGTTTCATAGTTTAGGTTTAAGGGTAATTTGAAACATTGTTTCCTAATGTGGGCCTCCTAAAAAGTATCTAACTTAATTTATTTGAATAATTCAAATTAATTAGTAATTAATTAGACCAAAGGAGTTTGGGCTAATATGTTTAATTTAAAAGCTTGTAAAATATTTTGATTGGAGGATAAATATGGACCTTATTGGATAAGGATCAAGGCTTGAAAGGATAAGATCAAAAAGCCCACATGCATAATAACTCCTAATCCTTAGAGGACTAGGAAGCAATAACCTAGAGTCCACATTGGATTAATTTTCACCACTTCCTTATCCTTGGAGGACAAGGAAGACACTCCCTATATAAATACAAGGGGAGGTGTGGCAAAGAGGAGAGAGCAAGATGGGGTTACATAGAAAAAAGAAATTAAAAAGAGAAAATAGTTTTCTCCTCGGACATACACATGCCACCTCTTCCCTCTCTCTTAGGGTTGTCGTAAAATATCCATAAATAGATTTCTAAAAAGAAAACACTAAACACGTCGGAAAAGGTGGAGCTAACATTCTACTACTTTTGAATGCTTCTTGTATGAGTGCTTGGACTATGTGGATTATCGATAAAGGTCGGACATTTGAATGACTCCTTTTCTCGCTTAAGTTAAATCTATGCTACAAAAGGTAATCCTTTACTTGTACTTTAACTCATGTATATAAGATTAGTCGATTCAACGACTTGATATTGGGAAACTTAGATGGAGAATTTTTTTTTATTTTGCACCTTTATATGATGTATGGACTATGTGGATTATTGATAGAGGTCATAATTTGAATGGCTCCTTTTCTCGCTTAAGTTAAATCCGTGCTACAAAAGGTAATCATTTACTTATGCTTTAACTCAATGTATATAATATTAGTTGATTCAAAGACTTGATATTGAGAACCTTAGATGGAGGAATTTTTTTTTATTCGTCACCTCTATATGGTGTATGTTCCTTCACTAGTCGCCTTACACATAACACTTTGCAACATGAATTTAAAAACTAAACACTCATTGATATAAACACCAAGCATAGCATACACATTCTTAACAAAACAAACATGCACATAATCTATAAGAATTGTTTATAGTCTCGAGTGTTACATCCTCCTCTCATTATAAAAATTCTATTCTTGGAATTTTACTTACTCAAACAACTCATGATACTTAGATCTCATTTCATCCTCTCGTTCTCATGTACTCTCTTCAAAGTTATGATTCATTCATAAAATTTTAAGTAGGAGAATTTGCTTGTTCCTTAGCTATTTAACCTTTATGCCTAACACTTTTATTGGCCCCTCTTCATAACTTAAATTTGATTTCAACTCCGAGTGGCTCAAATCTCTAAACGTGACTTGGGTCTTTGACATACTTCCAAAACATAAACACATAAAAGATATTATCTCAAATCTTCGAATGTGGCTCGGCTCAAAGCTAATTGGTATGCTCTCTCTCTAACTCTCTTGTATCTCAAATGATCCAAGTATCTCAAACTTAATTTCACCTTCTTTTCAAGCCTCATTACTCCTTTCATCGGTGTAACTTTCCAAAACACGTTGTCTCCAACCTCAAACTCTAGGCTTTTTTTTTCTTCTATCGAATAACTCTTTTGCCTTTTTTTAGCCATCTTAATTCTTGTTCTAACTTGCTCCACAATATTAGTAGTTTGTTAGACCATCTCGGGTCCTAATAATTTTTTCTTGCCAACATCATCCTAATGTATCGGTGCTCGACATTTACATCCATACAATTATAATACCCATCCTAAAAATAAGACTTAAGTTAGTAATTTACATATTTTTAGGGTTAAAAATAAATATAAGGTAATTGAAGTATTTTAGAGTTTTATTAAGTGAGATAGATCATAGTAATGGATATTGTGAGGTTTGAACATAAGTTTAGAAATACGTTTTAAAGTGTGTGTGTGTGTCACGACCCCGGGAGTAAGCCATAATCGATGCAAGAACCAAGGGGATTGTGAGGCCCATCTCAACCCAAGAACACCTTGAATACTAATCTAAACCTCAAATCATAATGTGAACTTATACTATTATCCTTAATTCAATATCACTCAAATTATCATTAAATATCAACATAATCATAACTTAATAAATATTTCTAGAACATTAATACATCTCATGAATTCCATACTATTCTCATTTCAATATCTAAGATCAACATTCTTAATCAAATTCTAATACTCTACCCATAGTCAGTAATCGCAGAGCATATAAGATAAAGTAAATAAAAAACATACATAGGTTCTAAGGAATTACAATGAAGGTAAGTCACACGACCAAAGTGTTGACTTCACAAAAAGTAGCTAAAAGGACGCAATAACTAATCCCTCGGTATCTTGTAAAACCGAAATAATGAGGAGTGAGTAAACTACGACTTAGTGAGTAGACATTATATAATATATTACGGAAGGGAAATGCACTAGAGATGATGTTCTCCAAGCCATGTCAAAATGCAATGCTTATTTCTTAAAAACATATGCATATTGAAAACATAATTCATATTACAAATCAAATGATTCAAAACCATTTTATATCCATTCATCAAAACACACACACACACACACACACACACACACACACACACACACACACATATATATATATATATATATGAAAACACACACACACACATATAGGTTTTTATACACCCATGGGATAATAATGTATCATTGGATGTGAACACCTAAAAGTCACACCCCTTGTGACTAGGTTTCGCATGTAGGTCGATCGATATACGATCTAAGACTACACCTCTATTGCTAGATACAACCTTGTATGATTGAGCTTAAAGGCTATCCCTCCGGTAGCTAGGTTCCCCGTGGTCTCGAAAATATTTTCGAAAACCAAACATATTTATATATTTTTAAATCGGTATTTTAAATACCATACATGCATTTTTATAAAATACATGTATACTTAAAATACGAATATATCATAATCATTCAAATCCAAAAATCGCATATTAATTTTACTAACGTATTGAAATCTCTTTTTTGTTCATATCGAGTCATTTTAATATGAAAAACAATTCAAATATTTAGAACATCTATTCTCATCTAAGTTCTACTAGAATGCTTATAAATTATTCATAACCAATGATACATGATGGACAATTCAATAACTTTAAAACATAGTACACAATATAATATCCATAGGGGTGACCATTTTCGATTAAAACCAAAAAAACTAAACCAAACCAAATTAAAAATTTCAGTTTGATTTTATTTTAAAAAATCGAACCAAAAAATCAAAATTATTTCGTTTGGTTCGGTTATTTTTTAAAAAATTCAATTTTCACAAGAAATTGAATTCTAACAAAAGTTATAACTTACAATTTACAAAACCCTAAATCTAATATCATTTTAGACTTTTATCTTCTCTTTCTCAATTTTTTCTTTCACCTATCGCCGTGCTCACCCCAAAACTCGCTCTCACTTCTCCATACACTTACCGACTTACACACTCGTTGGAGTGCCGATCGACCACACGCCCACACCTAGCCCTCGCCCGGTCCACCACCCAATCCACTCTAGTCGATAGTCGTTAGTCACTCATCCATCCTCCTCCTCTAGAGTCTAATCCTCCTTAGGCCTTAATTTGATTCCCACGACCTTCTTCCTCCTCTTTCTCCTTCACCCACAGCTTGGCAGTTCCTACTCCAGTCAAAAGGTCGATTTTTTTTTTTTTGGTATTAAAATTTTTGGAAAATGATTTATGATAACCTTACAAGTCACAATAAGATTCATGGATGGATGCAAACCTATGACTATTTTGACATCAATGGGGGCGAGGGATATGTTAGATAATGAATGGTTGTGGGTTGTGGCTTTTGATAATGCCTATTGGATATTAGGTGGTGGGAATGTTAGGCCTAAACCAAGATGGGTAGGGGAGATACATTTTATATTCCTAGTTGCCAAGAAAGAGTATGCTTTTTCACTAGTTCAACCCTATCGCACCTAATCAATTTGAGATGCAAGTGAAAGTAAACCCTCATCAAAACAGAGAATTAAAGGAATTTACCGAAAGGTCAAAATCGATTAAATCTTGAATAATTGCAAACCTACCTAAACGGAAGACCTACTCTAGTTTCTTCATTGTGAATTGCATTTCAATTATAGATTTCTACATTTTTATATTTAAGACTAAAAAAGAATGTAAGACATTCATAAAAGCTAAAAACAAAAGGAATTTATTCATCCAAATTTTTAAATTGTTAATATCTTAAATATTAGTGCACCTACACGAGACCTTGTGGATTTAATTATATATAAGCTCATCCTTATAAACCGATTTATAAACATATACTAGATTTGCTATTAGAATGGAAGTTCTTTTGCTCTAGTTATTCAATCTAGATCACTTCTCATTTCCTAATTTCCTTTCTATAATGAGACTATGCACTAGCTTTGAAGAAGGGCAACTTTTTGATCCACAAGCATCCCACATCTACAAAGCAGACATTATGTCAGCAAAAGGCATCTTAATGAAGTCGTAATTGGAAATTACATTCATTTGAATTCACAATTCTCACTAGATAATGGCACACCACTTTGAAAGAAGAGGAAAAGACAACGAGTATATACTTATGTATTAAATAATTTAATGTTAATGGGTAGGGGAGATACATTTTATAAAAAATTATTATGATAAGTCCGGTCCATCATGAGCTTCCGACAATAGTATATACTTATGTAGTTATGTATTCCATTTACTTTGTGTAGATTTATTGGACATGTGTACTTTCAATTAATTGATTATAATTTTTCAAAATTAAAAATTTATTTTAGCTAATTAAGAACTTTTTTCAATACATAATGACTTAAGTTCAATCATCAATGTGATAGTTTTTTTTTCCTTTGTGCGGATGTCGCAACCCGAAGAAATTGTGAGTTTAAGCAATGAACCACCAAATGAAGCTCAAACAAATAAACAAGATGATAGGGGAATAAAGAGGAAACCAATGAAGCCAAGATCGATTTTGTGGGAACATTTCACTAATTTTAAAGATGTAAACAAAGAAATCAAAGCAAGATGCAATTATTATGCTAAGGTACTTGTCACCCATCCTATAAAAAATAGCACTACCACACTTAAGTCTCATATGACTTATGTAAAAAAACACCCCTATAGTATTGAGACTTCACAAACTCAATTAAACCTTCACTCAAATACTCAAGGAGAAAACACTCTTAGCACATGGAAGTTTGGTAAAAACGCTATTAAAAATGCTTTAGCTTTCATGATCATTATAGATGAACTTCCATTTAAATTTGTGAGGGGCATGGGATTTCAAAAATTTATGTCCATTGCATTACCTAGATTGAAAATGTTATCACGAGTTTACGATTTTAAGAGATTGATATCAACTTTTTTCAAATGAGAGATTAGTATTGAAGCAATTCTTATAAATGAATTCTCAACGAGTTTGTCTCGCTAAGGACATATGGTCATGGATTCAAAGAATCAATTATATGTGTTCAAATGTCATCATGGTTTATGATTTTAAGAGATTGTTATCAACATTTTTTAAATGAGAGATTAGTATTGAAGCAATTCTTGAAAATGAATTCTCAACGAGTTTGTCTCGCTAAGGACATGTGGTCATGGATTCAAAGAATCAATTATATATGTTTAATGACTCATTTCATTGATAATGATTGGAAGTTGCATAAAAAGATCATGAATTTTTCTCTAGTTGAGAGTCATAGGGGTATGGATTTAGGCAATGCCATTGAGAAGTGCTTAATTAATTAGGAGATTGAAAAGGTTTTTACTATTACGGTGACAATGTAAGTTCTAATGATATGGCAGTTAGACACTTAAAAGATGTTATTAAGAATTGGGGTCATAGTATCTTAGATAGGGAATTTCTTCTTATGAGGTGTGTGGCACATATTTTGAATCTTGTTGTTGTTGATGGGTTAAAGCATGTTAATCCTTTGATCCTTCGTGTTCGAGTAGTCGTGAGGTATGTGAGACAATCTCTAGCTAGGTTGAAAAAATTTAAGGAATGCATTGAGATAGAAAAGATTGATTCTAAGAGTTTGTTACCTCTAGATGTTGCAACTAGGTGGAATCCAACATATTTAATGTTAGATGCGGCTCATAAATTTGAGAGAGCTTTTTAGAGATTTGAGCAAGTTGATCCTTTATACGGATGTGAACTTGATGTAGATCATGGTGAAGATGTATTTGGACCGCCTAATGCTAATGATTGGATAGTTTGTAGGAAGATGGCGAACATGTTAAAACCCTTTTATAACCTTACTTTGCTTATTTTAGGTTCTTTGTATGTCAATTTTAATGCTTTCTTTGAAAAGATTTGTGGGGTTAAATATGTTTTGAGAAAATGGCAACAAAGTTCGAAGTTGATGATTGTTTAATGTGTACAAGAATGAAAGAAAATTATGATAAGTATTGGGAGATGTTAAGAAAATGAACAAATTGATTTATATTGCAACAATTCTTGATCCTAGGCATAAATTTTATTTGTTCAGTTTTGTTTCAATGAATTGTATGGTGAAATGATGACAAATCTTGTGAGGGAATCGATGTATGCCATGTATTATTCATATTGTGGGTCGGGAAGATCAAATATTGACCAAAGTGGTGGGAGAATAGAAGATGCAAATGAAGAAATGGTTGAGGAAGGGCTAATGGGTGTGGTTCATAAGATGAAATTAAAATATAAAAAATTCAAGATTGATGTTGAAGATGGAGAAAATAAATCGAGTTGGATAGATATCTTGATGAAGTCTGTCGAAAAAAGGATAAAGATTTTGATATTTTGATGTGGTGGAAAAACAATTATGCTCGATTTCCCATTCTTTCTCAAATGGCTCGTGATGTCTTGGTGGTTCCAATATCAACTAGTGCTACAGAATCTTCATTTAGTACTAGAGGAAGATTTATTGACTCTTTTAGGAGTTCTTTAACTCCTAACATTGTCCAATCTTCTATATGTGCTTAAGATTGGCTTCGAAATTCATTGACACCAACTAATGTTGAAGAAGATTTGCAAGATCTTGACAAAATTGAAGTGGATAATTTTGTTAACTCTTTATCTTTTCATTTGTCATTTTTTTTATTTAAGATATTTAATGTTTAATAATGTTGAAGTGTTGATTTATTTATTTATAAATATAGCAACACTTTCTTTGGTGCCAATTATGATAGATATATGATAGATTGATCGTGTTTTGATCATTTGGATGACATGGGTAAGTTTTTAATTTTTATTTGCTTGATATATTAATTTTTCCAATTTGAATATTTTGATAGATTATTTGAGTTAATGAGGTTTTTTTTTTTTTTTTTTAGGAAATGCCAAGATTTGGAAGTTGAAAGTTAATGTTTGTATTTGTATTATGGTTTAAGGATGTTTAATGGATTGTATTTTAATTATGGATGTTGGTTTATGGATTGTATTTTAATAATGGATGATGTTTTGTGTTGGTTATTTGATATTACATTTTAAATTCAAGTCCATAATTATATTGATATTTGGATGTTTGGATAATGTTTTGTTTTGGTTATTTGATTTAATAATGTACTTTAATAATGTTTTGGATGTTTTGGTTTATTAGTTATTTGATAATTGATATTACATTTTTATTTGTTTTGGATGTTTAATGTTCTTTCTTTTTTTCCTGAGAGATATTTTTTGCTCTCAACTCGGTTTTTTCCAGCTTCATATCGGTCTTTTTAATCAACATATCACTAATATATATATATATATATATATATATATATATATATATATATTATATAAGGATTAAAAATTAGTGGAATTGTAACTTTAAACATTACTTGATACTTGTGAAAAGAAATCCTGTAAAATATTTGACGTTCTAAATGAAAAATAATAATAATAAAATTGCAAATGTGCATCATGTTTTTCCTTTCACATGCTTGTACTAAAAACCACACTCACGAAACTAGTTGACCTCTCATAGTGCTAAGAACTAGAATTTCCCCTTATACTAGAGCGAACATAAGATTGTGGCCACAACTACGTTATTTTTCTTTGACACGGGAAACTAGATGCTCTTTTTAATGACGAGAAAGTATGATATATACAATGTAGACAAGTTGAGGATTTACTATCTTCTAGTCATACCAATGAATGTTTCCTATCATTTTTAAATACCATATTGCTTTGTGCTTCCTAGTTCGGCAGTTCTCGCCATATATATTACAAATCCAAAAGTTTTCCAGGTTGGTTTTCCTTTTAAAAAAAATCAATTTTCACTAAAAAACCGAATCAAAATTTTTGCTTTTTTAATCGAAAAATCGAACCTTAATTCGATTTCGGTTTGGTTTCTTTTTTTGCACATTTGGTTAACCAAAAACCAAAAAAAAAAAAAAACATTGAAACCAAACTAAAAAGCTAAATGCTCATCCTTAAATATCCACTCACGAGTATGATTTAAAGAATCGAACGGAATCAAGGTTGGGATGGAGGCTTACGCTCGAAGAATCTAGCATCACAAATGATGGATCAACCATCAACATCACTTAACAAGGAATAATCTAAATGATGGATTATTCTAGAATTAAAATACAAGATTATCAAATAAAAACAAAATTAATTGAAAAGACTCGATTCAAATCTAACAAAATCCTTTAATCCTTTAATTGATTCTAAATAATTATCTAATCACATAATCACATCCTATGGCCAATCTTTAACTCATTTCTTAAACAATTAACCTTTAATAATCAATCGTTGATTTGCTTAAATGATCAATTCTATTCTAATTCATCCAATAATCACTTCATTCATTTTTAATTACATTTTATAACTTAATTTCTCATTTTCCCTAACATTCTTTCTATTTAAAACCTAAATTCGAATTTATCACTATTCATGATCTTCAACCTCTTAATTTCTCAAATTCATTTTATTCTTATTCAAATTAACCTTTTATTTCACTTATTCATGACAATTAAACATCAATTAAACACCTAGAATCACTTAATCAAACTTTCCTCCAAATGGGTCTCAAGAACCCTAACCAAATCTAAGCAATTCCTCAAGCAATTTATTAACCTAAAGTAATCTCAATTCAATATCATCATTAACTACACATAAAATTTACAATTTAAGGATTAATGGATCAAAATTATTACCTTTGCACTAAGCTCCTCAAATCCCAATTTCTTCCTAGCTTTCCAAGCTTTAATATAGCTATAATCCACTTAAGCAAACTATTTTATGTTTTCCCTAAGCTACTTTAACATGCATTAGCTTAGGAATTAGGATGAAATTAAGGGGGTTTTGGGAAGAGAAAATACATGAGAGAGGGAGAGGAAAAGAAATGGAAAATCTAGAAAATAAGAGTAGTGACTCGCTCCTATTTATACCAATCTTTTTTTTTTTTTTTAATTTTGGGTTGTTATATTCTCCCTCTTAATAAAATTCATCCTTAAATTTTTGAATCTACCTAAACCTTAGTAAAAAAACAATCAAGGATACTTTCTTTTCATTTTCTT